TGCGGCATTCTTGTATATAAGTGCGCCAGACAATGAATCGATATAGAATTGCAGACAGACAGAGACGGACAATTGAGTTAAACGCGGTAGTAAGTAAGTGCATGAATCGTTCATTGTGAATTATAACTTGTGTTTAAGTTAACTTGATTGTGGAAATTAAGTGTATTGCAAAGTTGTATTGAGAAAGAATAAACTAGCTTTACTTAAGAAAGAACTTGTATCGCTGAAGTTTTTCGGAAGGAATTTTAACAAACAACCAGAGACGTAACAATATTATATGTACAACTCGCATAACATGCCAACAGAAGTTACTCATCACTGGACATGGTGAGATATGAGCTTTTCTCTAATAAAAATATTACCATTAAAAAGCTGCTACCCATGATGGATGCTTTTTCAGTGCATGTAAAAAAAAAAATTATCAAAGTTTCATATGGCTGCATATTACACTACAGTTTTTGAATCTCCCATCATCAGTTGGGAATAGATAAAAAATTCAAGTTGTCTTGGTTTTTGCAACGCTGTTTGTGCAACTAAGAAATGCAGATGTAGAAAGGAAAAAAATATTGTGCTCTGATGCTTGTTCTTGTGATAATGAAGAATACATCAACAGACTTATTGAAGTCTTGTCTGACTCTAAGAGCAATGATAAATCTTAACTTTCAGGCTCATTTCTAATAGTCTTGTGCTTGAAGGGTAATTAGTGCTTTGAGATAAATACTGTATTTTATTCACAAACATAAAAAATGTATACCTGAATTATGAGCAAATATCTACCACATATCTTTATTGGTTGTATGTATAATAACAATACTACATTGCTTAATTTAAGAAAGTTATTTTAATTAAATAGACAACCATTACATTTTTTCTACTTTGTTGAACATATTGTCAAAATCTGTCCTTCAAATTTAAATTCCAATCTACTACTTTTATATGTCTTATATATCTATTGCTAAGGCAAATGTCTGTATATGTAACATTTAACTTTCGAAAGTTATAACAGTGAATGTGGAGAGGTAAAAATAAGTATGATAAGGTAACATAAATAATAAATATCTATTTTTATTGTACCATATATTGCTTCGTATTTTGCAAATCATTTCATGTACATTCTGTGACAAAAGGGTTAAAAATGTATTACATGATACAGAGTGTCACCATATTCAGTGTTACCATTTTTGTTATATTGACACTCTAAACAAATAAACTCAGGTTTAACAAATACATCTTTTAATTTAAATGATATAAATTTAATTTATTGTATTAATATGAAACAATATTGCATAGTGCTTTTCAAATCATCCAATTATTATGTTTATGATGCTGATTTTAGACAAAAAAGTGAAAAGAATCAGGTTTCAGGCAACCCAGAAACCTTCTTGAAATTTGATTTCTGCAAATAAATTGATTTATTTGTCGTAATACAGTAGACTAAGTAATCTTGAAACATCCCTTCTTCGTAGACAGCCATTTTTATGTCAGACTTCCTGAATAAACCCCAGTGTAGAAAACAACTGCACCACTTTCACAAGTCCACATCAACCCTAGGAGTTGTCCACATAGATTATAAAAATGCATGGCATCATCATACATTTTCTAACTTTTTGGGGTGAACTAAGTATCAGATAAGTAAACCAACAAATTCGATCAATAAGTAAAAGGAGTATTAGTGTTTTATAACTTGGATGAGTTTTTTAAATGTAAAATAATAAGTCTGGACAAATTTAAATAAATGAACACAATATATATGCAGGTGAAATCACAGTTGATTATACTGGAGTGTGTTTAAGATCCACACTTTTCTTTCTCTATAGATTTTGACTATGATATTTAAGTAAGTCTTCACTCAACGATCTCCTAGTATAATTAGCTCCAGAAAATATGCCTGAACTCAATCTCGTGACCATTATTTTTTCACAGCATTGGTCAGTTGTTACATCTAGTCAACGTCAACTTGATCAGTGAAGGATATTACAGTTTCCTTTCAACTTGAATGCTGTATGTTATTGCAATATCTTCTTGGGCAGAATAGACATTTCTTACTATAGAATAGAGAACAACAAAACAAAGGAAGAAAAAGTACAATCTCAACGACTTTTCAGACCACATTTATGTGCTAACGCTGCATACATCAAGAAGAGGAATTTAAAAAATACTATATATTTAAAGCAAGCACAAAACTTATGATATGAGTGCATATCACAAAAACAAAGTATAGTCCTAGCTAAGCCTCGTTTACAGCACATGTGAGTTATCATTATTTAAATTATAAATATAGTCATAGGCGCACGAGGGATTTTCAGAGTAGGCTGTACAATTTTTCCCCGAATGAGGTTATGAAAATTATATTTTCTGCTTATAATTTTGCCTGAATAAAAACTGAAAATTTGCTCGAATGGCCGTATGTATTGCAAGCTAGGGGGCTGCTCCTCGCCTCGTACGCTTAAGAATATAATGTTACGACAGCGGAGGTCACATGACGCTAGTAACACGTCACGCGCTTCTAGAACGTTCATGAAACCTCGAGAGGCTACTAGATATGCGGTAGTCTTGTATATAAGCCGCCAAGAAGTAACGGCAACAATGTAATTGAACTACAGACAGAGAGAGAGACGTATTGTTGAGTCGAGCACGTGAGACGTTTGTTGAGAATTATAGCGTTTGTTATCGCGTGATTGTGGAAATTAAGTGTATTGCAAAGTTGTATTTAGAAAGAATAAACCAGTTTTATTTAAGAAAGTTGCGGTTGCTAGTGGTAGGACAAATAGGATTATAGGTTACATATTGTTGCGTCATCGAGATCACGTGACTATTCTCACGCCCTCTAGTTTCTAGAACTATCCCGTACCTTGGCGAATGCTCTAGTATTTACTAGATCAGGTAGGCTGGTATATAAAAGAGGGTGACAACGTGACGAATGTAATGTAATGTGTGTGAAGATAGTGAGTAACTGAACTGCAGTCAGAAGTATTGTTGACGTTCGTATAGCGTTTGTTATAGAGCGATTGTTGAAAATAAGTGTATCGTAAAGTTGTATTCGGAAAGAATAAACCAGTTTTATTAAGTAAAGACTTGTGTCGTTAAAGTTTCGTCGGAACGAAGTTACGGAAAAATCAATTAACAAACGGAGACGTAACAATATACAGAAATACTGGACACAACTGTAGGTCACTGGTTAGACCTAATTTGGAATATTGTGCTCAGTCTTGCTCTTTTTACTGTTATTAGAATGATAGCTGAGATGGGAATGTGTCGTAAGAAGATATTGTTACGTCTCCGTTCGTTAATTAATTTTCCCTAAATTCGTTCCGACTGTTACGTCTCCGTTCTTTATGAATTTTCCGTAAATTCGTTCCGACGAAACTTTAGCGACACAAGTCCTTTCTTAAATAAAACTGGTTTATTCTTTCTGAATATAACTTTGCGATACATTTAATTTCAACAGTCGCGCTATAATTCTCAACGTGCTCGACTTCAACAATACTCAGTTCAATTACACACTCTCTGACTGCAGTTCAACTACTCATTATCTTTCCGTCGCTTCGTGGCCGGTCTTATATATACAAGACTAC